AGATATAGATATAGATATAGATATAGATATAGATATATAAATTTTTTAATGTTTATTTACTTTTGATAGAACACAAGGTAGGGAGGGGGAGAGGGAGACACAGAATCCAAAACAGGCTCCAGGCTCTGAGCTGTCAGCACAGAGCCCAACACAGGGCTCGAACCCACAGACCATATCATGACCTGAGCCGAAGTCGGTCCCCCAACAGACAGCCACCCAGGAGCCCCTATTTTTCTTTATGATATTTTTAATGGCTACATGATTTCCCATTGAGTTGACAAAATACGGTTTACTTGACTAATCCCTTATTTTGTTCTTAAATATCATTCTTTCCTTGGGTTATTTCCCTAGGATAATAATAAATTCAAGATATTAGCATTTTAATAACTTTCGGTAGATATTTCTTTATAGAAATCCACTATTTTCTACCATTTTTTATGTTACATTTGCAACTTACGGCTGCAAAATAATCCAGGATTACACCACATCTTTAGTATATTAAAACAAATTTTAAAATGGTTGAAAGTTATTGGCAGGTGGACTCAACCTGACCCTCTAACAGTGAAACAGTAAGAACCCTGCTGCCTCCCAACATGGGAAGCACCCAGAAGCACTCTCTCAGGGAGGCTATGGAAATAATTCTTACACCGGGAAGAAGTTTGCAGCACAGTGACTGAGATTTCTACCTAGAGCAGTAGTTCATGTTAGACTGAGGTCAAGTTCTTTAAGGATAAACTAATGTTTCTCTCCAGAGACTGACTGGCGTGAGGATCACACTACGTAACCAAAAGCTACTTGAGACTGTGAAGTGAGTCCGAGATGGCTCCATTCAGGCATTCGGCTTGGTCTGTCCTGCTAAGTAACACAGGTCTCTTGAAAGAAAAATGTGTCAACTGCAGAGACTACATTACACTTGACCACGTGTCACTGTGGATGCAGGATGTTAGTCACTTGCGCATGAACGTGGCACAAAGGTGACCAGGTATCTCCCTTTGTGAAAATCAAGCTCATTCTGAGGTCCATCCAGAATGCAAGCTTTTCACGCCCCCTGCCCCAGACAGCAAAGGGGTGGAGCTGGGATGCAAAGCCGGTGGAGGAGGGGGCGTGGCCTTACTTCCAGTGCCCACGCCCCTAATCGCTGAACTTCCTCTCTGCCATTCAGAGAAGGTGGTCAGGGCCTGGCAGAGTCTGGAGGCCAGGAGACAGTGCACCTGGTTTAACAGCTCTGGAATAAGGTGAGAGAAGAGGGCCGGCAGTCGGAGAGAGGCCAGGACTGCAAAGGGACAGCGTTTCAAAAATGCCATAGAGTTCTCCTGGCCTCAGACTATTTCCTCAACCCATCTACCTGGGTCTACCACAGCCTGATTTTCCTTCTAGAGTCAGCCTACAGGCTCTTCAGTCCCGAGGAGGGCTATGCACTGAACACATGCCCTTCGGAGGGTTACTTATTACCTTCTACCCTAGATGCGAGTACCGAACAACCTCCTGAAAATGAGGAAGGGGCCCCAGGAGGGGTGCTAAAAGAGGAAACAAAACACATGAAAGAAAATGCTGTTCCAAGAAACAGAGGGTGCTTCAGCTCTGCCAGGAATCCCATGCTGCTTTGGCCTTTACGTTTCCCCTCTCGACTTTCTTCACGTCTCCCGACTCTGTCTTCCTGGTCCTTTCCCTTCTGTTCCCTTTTACCTTCCCACTTCCCCTTGTATCCCTCTCTCCTGTCTGTCCCCGTGAGGGGAGGGGTGTGACCCAGAGGCAAGTGGATAGAGGCCTCGAGTACAAACAGCAGATGGTGAAACCCTGCAACAACTAATACAGGTGACCAGCGTGCAGGTGTGAGGTGCTGCCAGGCCCACAATGAGGGGTCAGATGGCACGTCTACTGCACGAGGTTCGGAGTCTGGTGGGATAAACATGTCGTACATGAAGACACACGGAGAAAAAACACAAGTACGGTGTGGTGGTGGCCTTAACATGCCCACTTAGCTGGGCTACGGGGCCAGTAGGGTGGGCGAACACTCACCTACATGTTGCTGTGAAGGTTAATCAGCTGATTTTAAGGCAAGCAAATTACCAGGGCATCTGGGTGGCTTGGTCGGTTAAGTGGCTGACTTTTGATTTCGGCTCAGGTCATGATCTCACGGTTCGTGGGATAAAGCCCCTTACTGGGCTCTGTGCTGACGGTGAGGAGCCTGCTTGGGATTCTCTCTTTCCCTCTCTCACTCTGCCCCTCCCCTGCTCGCACATGTGCGCACGCCCTCTCTCTCCCAAAATAAATAAATAAATATAAAAAAAAAAAAAAAAAAGAAAATTACTCTAATGAGGGTGGGCCCCATCCAATTAACGAAAGGCCTTAAGAGCAGAGACTGAGGTTTCCTGAGGAAGAAGAATTCTTTTTCAAAACTATATCACAAAAATCCTGCCTGAGTTTCTGGCCTCCTGCCCGGCACTGTGGATTTAAGATTTAAGATTGTAACGTTAACACTCACCAAAATTTCCAACCTGCCCCCATAGATTTCCGACTTGCCAGTTCCTACAGTCACAAGAGCCAATTCCCTAAAGTAATTCTCGATCTCTCGTTCTCTCTGCACGGACACACACGCACACATGCCCGTGCGTCCTGCTGGTTCTGTTTCTCTGGAGGAACCTTCGGTGGGTCCACTAGGAAATCTGGGCAGGAATAGCTACGCTGCCCACTCGAAAGGCTCAATGATTAGCAACGGCTCTCTGTTCCCTGCAACTGGACACCTTCTGTCCCCGATTCCTAACACCATCACTTACCCGACACTCACTCGTTTTCCCGGAGTCGGCTGAAAGTAAATGGCTTTCCTTTGATAAATTCTTCCATATTATATGCATGAGGGCTTATTCCATTATTTTCACTTAACACTTCTGTCTCTGATTTTCTTTATGTCTCAAAACGTCTCTATGGGCTTAATTATGAGTCTGACCAACATCATTATGGGTCTGTAAATATTTCTGCCACCAAAAACAGGCCGTCAGCTTAGATGTCACACTACCTTCTAGTCTTAATAATCAAAATCTATTCAAAATAATAGTCAAATTTCACTTATGCTGTGTAAAGCTTCTGTATGTTTCTTCAGCTGAAGAGATCTATTTTAATTCCAACGCTTGGTCTTTTCTAGAAGGTGGTCACGGAAGTTTTCTTCTTTCTTCCTCGAAGTCATTCTGCACTGAAGACACTGCCTCAAACATCATACCTAGCTAACAGTATAGGGCTGGTGCGCAAGTCATTCCTGACTTACAGAAAATGTGTGTTTAAAATGCCACCTACAAAATACAAAGCAGTCGTGTCAAACTACGTCTCTACTTTGGCATGCGATATACACTACACAGCAGGTACGGACTTTCTCTGATACTTGACATCAATGGCTTGTCTCTTTCTTGTGACTCCCACCGTTGCTCTGTTTAATCTACATTCACCCATGACACACTGAAACTTACTGATTTTGTAACTATTCTACATACAAATGAGTGAGAAATGCAAAACCCCAGGGGACAATTTCTACCTTATAAAATCAAACCTGCTCAGCTGAATGTGCTTCTATCCAAACATGGGTGAAATGCCACGGTCAGCTCTCGGGGGTGCTTGCAGAGCGAGGAAGAGAACCCAAAATTCATAGGTAATTAACAGTAACGGTAGAGTCTATTCATACAGAAACCAGACAGAGCACCTCCCAACTATTACACATAAATCAAAAGATTTCCAAATGGAGCAAAGTATAGAAAAGTTCTGTCAGGTTTACGTGACAACTGTGTGGTTGAAAGCTTCTCTCTCTCCCATGAAACATAAAGTACTTAAGAAGACGTTTGTAAGGCAACAAATCCCAGCCATTATTTTAAGGCATCATTTAGCACCATTGCAAATAGAAATCTCCTCGGCAATCATTTCACCGACATGTATCCCGTTCAAACATGCAATTATCAGTCACATACAGCATGCAGCATGCAGTAAACAGACAGCAGAGGTTAATAACCTGGAAGCATAGGATCTGAGAATGTGAGAGCAAGTTAAAGACAAGAGTTCCTCTCCATTGTCACTGAGGGTCGAGAAGCAATGCTGAAGCGTAGAACAGTGATAGTGGGGGAAATACAGTTTGTCCAACACATAAACATATCTCCGCAAGTGGCGGCAGGTATAACTGAAAGACAAAGGTAAAAGGAGAAAAACAGAAAGACAGGAGTTTTCCTTTGAAAAAATAAACCATTCTCAATGTCCTCAAAGCTTTCTGTGTATTTTCACTAGATGCTGCCCAAGGGACAAAAAAACACAAAAAACAAAAAACAAGTGTTAAAAGAGAATATTAAAAACATAAAAAAGAAAACAAACAACGTGATTTAAAAATGGGAAAAAGACCTAAACAGACACCTCACCAAAGAAGCTATACGGATGGCAAATACGCGTATGGAAAGATGCCCCACCTCCTGTGGCATGAAGCAAATGCAAATCAAAGCCACAAGATACCACTCCAAACCCACGAGAAAGGCCAAAGTCCAGAACACTGACCACACCAACTGCAGGTGAGGGCACGGAGCAACGAGAACCGCCCTTCACTGCTGGTGAGAAGGCAAAAATCACACAGCCGTGTCAGAAGACAGGTTCTGTTTCCTCACAAAACTAAACATACTCTTACCACACGGTCCAGCTAGCACGTTCCTTGGTACTCGCCCAAATGGGCTGGCGGTTTCTGTCCGCATAAACACCTGCACATGGACGTTTCTATCAGTTTTCGTAACTGCCCAAACTTGGAAGCAATCAAGACGTCATTTGGTAGGTAAACGGACCAACTGTGGTACATCCAGAAAATGAAGTGCTGTCGTCAGTGGTAAAAAGAAAGGAGCAAACCAGCCACGAAAAGATATGGAGGAGTCTTCAAACGTGTGTCGCTAAGTGAGAGAAGCCTCTCTGAAAAGGCGACCAACTGTAGGATTCCAAGTCCGTGACATTCCAGAGAAGGCGGCAAAATTCTGCAGACAGTAAAAAGCCCAGTGGCCGCCAGGAGTTAGTGGGGAGAGAGGGATGAACAGGCCAGAGCACAGAGGATTTTTAGGGCAGTGCAACTACTCTTTATAATTCCTTACCGGTGGACGCATGCCATTGTACATCTGTCAAAACCCACAGGAAGTACACCACCAAGAGTGAGTCTTGACATGAACTATGGTCTCTGGGTGAGAATGATGTCAAGGAAGGTTCATCAACGGTAACACTTCTAGTGCAGAATGATGACAGGAGGGGAGGTTGTGGGTATAGGGAGGCAGGGTGCATATATGGCAATTCTCTGTACTTTCTGCTCATTTTTGCTGTGAATTTAGAGCTGCTCTTAAAGAAAAAGGCTATTTAAAAGTGGGGGGAGATCTACTGACAGGGGGAAATTTTTCAAAATATGATGGTGTCATTAGTTAACCATAGGAAAATTGCCTTGATAGAGCAAAGTGGTGTGAGAGACTTTCCTCTCTACAATACTACAAATACACTCCTGGAAGACAGGCAATTAATAGTACAGCGATATGGAAGATACCATGGTAGAGGGAACACTGAATTAGGAGTCAGAAAACTTCGAAATCTGGACCCGATCCAGCCACTGGAAGCTTTGTAACAGTGGGTATTTGATCTCTCCAAGCCTCAATCCCACAAATTGCAACAGAGAAGTATGTTAAATTATTCCAAAATTACGGGGCGCCTGGGTGGCGCAGTCGGTTGGGCGTCCGACTTCAGCCGGGTCACGATCTTGCGGTCCGGGAGTTCGAGCCCCGCGTCAGGCTCTGGGCTGATGGCTCAGAGCCTGGAGCCTGTTTCCGATTCTGTGTCTCCCTCTCTCTCTGCCCCTCCCCCGTTCATGCTCTGTCTCTCTCTGTCCCAAAAATAAATAAACGTTGAAAAAAAAAATTAAAAAAAAAAAATTATTCCAAAATTTTGAAGTGATACTTAAAAAAATAAAAGAATTATTATTGTCAGAGTAATTTCACTTGTGCCACATTTCAGACTGCTCGAAAATAACAAGTTTGAAAGAGGAAAATACCCAATCAATCTGACAAAGTGAATCAGCAAAACCATGAACACATTAACCGATATGCTTAAACCATTTGTCTTTGAGAACCTTTTCTAAAAATCCACATGGGGTGCCTGGGTGGCTGAGTCAGTTAAGCATCTGACTAATTTCGGCTCAGGTCATGATCTCACAGTTGTGAGATTGAGCCCTGCGTTGGGCTCTGCACGAATCTTGGAGCCTGCTTGGGATTCTCTCTCTCCCTTTTCTTCTACCCCTCCCTCTCCCCTGCTCGCTTGTATTTGCATGCTCTCTCTCTCTCCAAATAAATACATCAACATTTTTTTAAAATAAAAATTAAAAAAATAAAAAATAAAAATCTACACCCCACGTACATCAAGTTCCCAAGGGGCAACGTGTGACTTTTAAAGTGTGCTGAATTCAAAATAAAGCTAATAGATTGAAAGATTAGAAACCGGCAAATTTCCAAAAACTGGACAGTCCAATCGTCCATTCAACCTATTAACCAGCCTGTCTACTCATCAGCCAAGCAGTATCTACTATGTAGCACGTAGGAACTATGCACTGAGCTGAGGACAGGGTGAGGAAGAAAACAGACACAATTCTTTCCCGGGCAGCTTGCAAGACAGAAGAAAGACACGTCCGACAACAACAAAATCCCATGTAAACTGTGTAAGTTCTAACTCTGGAAGCCCTTTGAAGGAAACCGTATAGGGTTCCCTAAGCGAAGTAATATGGAGCTCTCTCCCTGAGACATGGAAGTTAGGAAAGGGCTCCTGCAAAGTGAACTTTAAGCTGACATCTTAAGGAAGAACGGAAGGTGGCTAAATAGATTATGGACCGGGGAAGAGGCGCTGTGAATGAGCTAAAAATCGATTACAAACAATACATGAATATTGTAAGGAGAGTGGGCTCAAAATTAACAACCCTTCTCTGTTCAAAAAACAGGTAAGTTTTTTTTTTTATCTGAAGGACAGTTGAGACACAATGTTCCACTAGTTGCAGGTGCACAAGGTAGCGATTCAACAACTCTTGACATTATGCTGTGCTCACAAGTGTAGCTACCATCTGTTACCATACCCAGGCTATTCAAATACCACTGACTATATTCCCTATTCTGTGCCTTTCATCCCATGACTTATCCATCCATCCTGTAACTGGAAGCCTGTATTTCCACTCGCCTTCACCCATTCTGGTCATTTCCCCACCTCCCTCCCCTCTGGCAACCATTAGTTTTTTCTCTTCTGGGTCAGTTTCTGCTTTTTGTTTGTTTTTAAAAAACAATCACTTTTTAAAAATATAGTGGTTCTATTACACTGACAAGAAGATAAGATGAAATATCCAAGTATGATGTATAAATATCTATGAAGAAATCTTTAAAATGGTGGTAACAAAAGCCCTGAGTCAATAAAATGGGGAAAAAAAAACATTTTTAGACAGGAAATTGTAGGATTGTAAAGTCATCCAATGTTCAGGTATTAATCTAAAAATTCATATTCTCAAAAAATATCAACAAGATTTAAAACAAACTAGCCATATTAATTCCGAATTCCATTTAGTAAACTAAACATTTAAGAAAAGCCAGAACATTCTGGAAAACTCTAGTTGATGGGACTAACTTTAAAAAAAAAAAACCACAGGGACGCCTGGGTGGCTCAGTCGGTTAAGCATCCGACTTCGGTTCAACAGAAAATCAGATGAAATATTCAATAAATGGTACTGGGATAACTGAGTAGATAACTAGGAAAAAAAAAAAAACAGAGCTCTTTACCTTACCTCTTAAAATAAATTCCAGGTTGATCAAAGATTGGAAGGTAAAAATAAAACTATAGAAGTTCGCAAATAAACCATATACCTGAGAGCCATTAAAAAATATGACTCATAAATCTGATCCCATAAAAACGGAAAATATAAATAGCCGCTTTGCACGATGCATCTTTCATACTGTGTCCACTTCCTGCCGTTTTCATGTATCAGACATAAATTAATGGCTAAGTAATTTTTAAAAATGGAAAGGGGCACAGGAGCAATTATTTCAGAGGGAATATGATGAAGGGGGAGATCCAGGCAGGTTCAAGGATCCAAAGGAAGTTCAGCATGGTTGGTGTATACCTGAAAATGGCGAAAGGTAAGGCAGGCTCATGTGGTGCCTTGTGAGTTATCTCATCATGAAAAACTAATTAAGGGTCTGAGCAGGGGAGCAACTAGATAGGACTTACTTTTTTTTTTTTTTTGGCAGGCCTGCTTGGAGAGAGAGAGAGAGAGAGAGAGAGAGTGTGTGTGTGTGTGTGTGTGTGTGTGTGTGTGTGTGTGTGTTAGCAGAGGAGAGGCAGAGAGAGAACGAGGGAAGAATCCCAAGCAGGCTCTGCGTTGCAGTGCAGAACTTACAAACCGTGAGAGCATGACCTGAACCGAAATCAAGAGTTGGATGCTTAACTGACTGAGCCACCCAGGCGCCCCGATATGATTGACTGTTTTAAAGGTGCATTTCTGCAATACAATGATAAAACTGGGGAGGAGCAAAAGTTGAAAGATAAAACTAGAAGCACCAAGAGTAGAAAAGCAAAGACCAGTAAGCAGTTACTGCAAGAGTTTATGCAAGTACTGCTGATGGCTCAGAGCAGGGGTACAGCAGATTCAAAACTATTCTGGAGCTACAACCGATGGACTTGCTAATTGATTGGAATGGGGAATGGGATCAGTAGAGGAAGATATCAAGCATAATTCCCTGATTTCTCATATCAGGAACCGAATGAAAGTACGTTTTCTGAGGAAGGAGAAACCAGAGGAGGGACAGGTTTTATGCAGAAGATCACGAGTTTCGTTTTGGACATGCTCAGTTTCAGATATCGCAGCTGTGAGATGTCACCAAATGCTGGTATATGTGTAAGCTTAAAGCTAAGAGAGGTGTAGATTAACCCAGAGGTATAGATGGATTATAGACAGACACACAGAAGAAGGTCAAAGCTCAGAGAACATATACAAGGTCAGAGGGAAAAGACAGGACCCGGACCAAGAAATTCCAGGATTTCCAAGTTAAAGACAGAGAGGTGCGGTAAAGAATACTAAGTGGTAGCTAGAGAAGTAAGAAGAAAATCTACAGATGTTGTCAGAAGGTGTTTTAAGAAGGTCAT